GGCGAAGATTTGAAATGCGCGCTACAGATTCGGTAGTCGCCTGGCAAAAGTGGTACCCCGCCTGACGTCACAAAACTTCAAGATGGCAACAAAAATCAAAAACTGGGACAATAATCAAAGAAAAGGACTGTGGTGGTTTCAAAGGAATACCTAAATGATCATTCATTTTTTCGAACCCTTATAATTTAAAAAAATTAATTTGAAGTGAAGTACGTATTTGGAGACTTTACACTTTACTGGGAGAACATCCAATGCCCAGCATGAGCCTTGGAAACGTCATTCGTGAACTCAAAATGACCGACTTTTCCTGGCCCTCTCATTGGCCAGCGGTTTAAAGGCTAATAAGTCGGGGCAATCGAGTTCCAGTTCCAAGTTCGAGTTCCAACGCTTCCAGTGCTGCCAACCCTCCGGCTTTTTTGCCCGTCTCCATTTTTTCTCCGGCTTCTCCGGCTTTGACGCAGAATCTCCGGCTTTTTTAAATATTGCACTATCTAACTTAAAATTTCGGTAAAAACCCGTTTAGAACAATTTAAACAAGGGATGAGCAGGCCCTGGAAGCTAGCAACGATTCCCTCAGCAACGGCCGTGTGTTTTTCAGATCACCTTGCAATACAGTGTTGCCGATTGTCATGAAATATTCAATAAATGACCCCATGTTGCCAAACTAACTGCAAATGTACAGAATAGATTAGATAACGCATTTTCGCCAAGAAACGTCGCCAAAATAACGCCTCACCGCGATACAGCGTTGCCATTTGGTTGCTGAAATAACTGCAAACGAACTGATTGGAATAAACAATTTTTTTAACGCCGGGAAACGTCGTCGATGAAACAATACAGCGTTGCCAAATGAAATATTTAACACTTGTGTTCAGTGCGTTACGAATGTTTCATTTCTTAAAATGCTTTAAGGTGATGCTTAAGGTGAAAATCACCGTTGCTGGGGATTTTCTGAGGATGTGCTCAGTTCACGTCCACTTTTTTGATAAGCAGCATTAATAAAGAAACTTCCTTCCAAATTACAGATCAATTCTATGTTTAGCTCTCGAGGAATCGGTATATACTCAAGCACCATCACTCAAACCAAGCGATTTTCCGGAGGAAAATCACCGTTGCTGGGGGTTTTCCGAGGATGTGCTCAATTCACGTCCACTTTTTTGATAAGCAGCAATAGTAAAGAAACTTCCTGCCAAAGTACAGATCAATTCTATGTTTAGTTCTCGAGTAATTAGTATATACTCAAGCACCATCACTCAAAGTCAAGCAATTTTCCGGAGGAAAATCACCGTTGCTGGGGATTTTCTGAGGATGTGCTCAGTTCACGTCCACTTTTTTGATAAGCAGCATTAATAAAGAAACTTCCCTCCAAATTACAGATCAATTCTATGTTTAGCTCTCGAGGAATCGGTATATACTCATGATCCATTACTCCAATTTGGACGATTTTCCGGACGAAAATCACCGTTGCTGGGGATTTTCCGAGGCGATGCGCAGTTCACGCCCACTTTTTTGTCAAGCAGCATGAATAACGAAACTTCTTGCCAAATTACAGATCAATTCTATGTTTAGTTCCCGTGTAATTAGTATATACTCAAGCACCATTACTCAAAGCCGAGCGATTTCTTTACATCCTTCTTCTTTACGTTCTCCGTATATATCTTTATATGCACATATATTCAAGTTTTCAGATTTTACAATTTTCTGTAATGCGTTTTTTTTTTTACTGTTATGTATGGACTGAAGTACCTAGTGAATTGTTCTTTTTCCCCAATGGCACGAAATGGCCCCCAATGGCATGAAAACTACTCAATGGCAATTCTTTAAAACTGCCGTGATTTTCCTTTTCTGTGGGACAAAAATTCTGCAAAAATTCAAGGAATGATGTCAATTTGTCCTTCTTTAAAAAAATAACACGCAGAGGCGGAGATTTTCAGACACCGCAAACGAGTTATATGATTGCCGACTTACACCCTTGATATGCACCTCTCCACTCAGCACACTTCAAGATATTCCTAAGGTCCCTCAGTTATTAAAATGTTTCCACAATGAATTTTCTTCTTAATGGGCAATTTGGAGCCAAGCAGGATTTTTAGGATGTGGACTTCCCCAGCTCACATGATCTAATAATCTAACCCAACTGACGGTACGGACTACATACTGAATCGTTTTGTTCGCGTAGTGTATGGACATTTTTGGTTTGATATCTAACAATCAATACTGTTAGCTGTGGCAGTTGAATTCTCTCTTCAATTTTCAGATTGAGAAATTTTAATCACTTCCTCAGTTTCCGTTCCAGTCATTCATACCAGGTCTTAGGGCGAAATTGTGTGGTCCTTGGTTACCCTAAAGAGCTCAGCTTTTTACTTTAACTGTAGCGGTACCTTTAAGAGGAAGTGTTATCAGTTAGCAGAGTTAAGTGTTAACATCAGAAACCAACTTCAAGCACACAATATTTTCTTATTTTCCGTATGATATGGGGTTCCCAAACAGATCACAGAACTCTTAATTGCGCATCTTTCTTCATATGTTTTCTGTGCACAAACGAAATAAGCCATAACTTGCCATATGATTGGTTCTCCGAACTTTGGTGAAAGCTCTCTTGGGTAGACAAGGTTCTAGGTTGGAGGCAGCTTTTTTGTTCAGACAGTCAGACCAGAGAGAGACAAGAGACCCTCCACTGGCCTCCTAGCGACAGGTGGAAGCTTTTACTTTCGGGGTTTCAACAATTCCTTATAGCCCTTTCCACACGTTGCAAGTTTTGCTGCAAGTGAGCCGAAAGTGGGAGTCATCACTCATCGATGATGCTGAAATTTGCGTCCCGTCCGCAAATTTCACAACTTTCCCAAACGTCGGCTATTTTCGGCTTGTTTGCGAAACGAAACTGCCAACACGTTGTTGAACATCAACCATGTAGGTAAGTCAACAGTAGAATGCTGAAGTCCCGAAAGTAAAAGAAAGCTTCCACCATAGCCAAGTTACTAGTGGAGGGTCTCTTGTCTCTGGTTCAGACTGTTCAATCTGCGCTACTTGACTAACGATAAGTGCAACTCACCTACGCACTAATCTTTGCATCTCTAGGAGGGATTATGATGATAGTACAATTGCCAAATACACCTTCAAAAGCTAAAAGCAGAATTTGAGTAACGTCTCAACTCGATTATCACAATATGTACCACTTTTAGTTGCAGAAGACGTAATGATTCAATCATAGCAGATGAGACCTGTTAAACTTCTGTGTTGGTTACACAGCACATATAATTCACATGTATTCTGCACATGCCAAATAGGGTGTAATCACTAGCTAATTGATGTGATTTCTAATGATAGAAATCAATCAAGCAATTGCACGGACTGTAAAATGAAACGGAAAATGAAATACTGGATATGATCACTGCAGATAATTATACACTATTTCTTTCCAAATTGGGGAAAAACGTACCTACGTGAAACCTGGAGTTTAAAATTTAATCCGGGCAATACTTTCGCAAGTTTTGATTGATCGATAAAAATTTTAGAAACGAAGAAACGTAGAACGTTTAGAAACGTAGCTCATAAGACTTGGATTTGAAGAGTGAATGAATAGTAAAAAAAGTAAATCTAACCTATAACGGCGATTAATCCAATCACAAAAACAGATGGATTTGTTAACAATTTGGCAACATTACTTTAAAATGGCTCTATGTAACCATGTATTTTTACAGTGTGTCTCAAAAATTCTTCGTCATTGCTGGATCTCACCGTTGCTAGGTTCACTCACATGGGATGAGCACGTGTGCACGTGGGACACTTTTCTGCAAACGTTGGCAACAGTCCTGCCCAATCTACCCGCTCAAATTCTTTTGTTTCGCGGAAATTTTCGTCCTTGATCAATCTCCATCATCATTGTTACCGTGTTACGTTACGTTACGTGTTCGTGTTTGTTTCTTAATTAAATGTGGTGCTATTAATGCTATTATTGAAACTAAACTATGGAAGTGGATGTGGAAGAAGAAGAGATACAACTTCACCTATCCTCGAACGATGATTCCTGCAGTAAGTTTCCAACTCCTTTTTCCGGACTAGGTTATGTAATTAAGTCTTCATCTTCATTCCTCTTGGCTTGGATAGACATTTGATCAAGACCAAGTCATACATTGTGGAGTCATGTCCAATAGGAAACTCGTCTGTTTTGACGTGAGTCATGAAATCATTCTTATGCATTCCATGGCTAACCTAAAAATTGACTTGTTTCCTTTTACCCTGAATAAAATGTTTGGTGTGCATTACCTGTAGGAAAGTGCGCTTTTGACATCATGAGACTTTCTGGTAGAGGCCGAGCCGATTAGCTTTGAACTGGTAGGCCATTGCGCAGACAAGCGTTTCCGCTTTCTGCGGAAGTTTTGAGGAGATTTGGAGATCCCACAGTCAATCATAGCATTGAACATTGAACGGATGTAAACAGAGTGGCCTACCACTTCAAAGCTAATCAGCGAAACCTCTAGCGCCAAACTTTTAGGGGCACATACCATACTCCATGGTAGCACTCGCTGAGTGTGTGGTGAACGCCACCATGAAGCGTAGCATGCGGTGGTAAAATGTCTGAAACGCATCTTACTTCTGGTCAACCACTGCAGTTTAATTGGCTTTTTCTTACACATTCTCAAGCAACTTGCGGTGTTTGAACCTCAAAGACATTTCTTGTCCGTGGGGTGGGCATTATCAAAATATAGAGTTTAAAAATCTGAATAATTCAGTTCACAAGCCAAAGCCAAATTCCAGGATCATGCATGAAAATACAAGTTAGCTTCAACAGGTTTTTTGACGCTCTAGCTCTGTGTTGTTTCAGGTTCAAACCAACCGCAGCAGCGAAACCTTACTGTAGAAGTAGAAATTCACGCTCCTCCAACCAAGAGTAGACATTCAGAGGAAGTTCATGGTCCTTCAAAAGCCAGTTCAGATGAACTAAGCGACATTTTAAAAAAGCATAAGCTTTCCCTTATCGTCGATGAATCCACTGACAAAGGCGACTCAAAAAACCTTGTTCTAGCCACTAGGTATTTCGGCAGTAAAGTGTGCGATGCCAGAGATAGATTCTTTGATTTAATTACTCTCCCTAAAGGTAAAGCAGATCATGTATCTCTTTATAATTCAGTTAAAACGTCATTTGAGCAGAAAGATGTTCCTTATAAAGAAAACTTGATTGGGTTTGGTGCTGATGGTTGTAATGTTATGCATGGCTGTCACCATTCAGTTAAAACTTTGTTAATGAAGGATTGTCCTTTTCCTTTTACGTCAACATGTATTTGCCATTCTTTTGCATTGTGCGTAAATAAAGGGGTTGCAGAGCTCCCTAGACATTCAGAAGATTGCTTACGAGACTTTTGCAATTTTATTAAAAATAGTGCCATCAGATATGCGCATTTGAAGGCGTATCAGGTTATATGTGAGCTTAAACCAAATAAAATGTTGAAAAAAGTAGACACTCGATGGCTGTCATTAGGAGATGTTATGGCCCGGGTTATCCGTTATGATTCAATGA